TGGAAGATACGACTCGGCGAAGTCGTTACAATATTCTTGTAAAAACCTTTACGAAATATACTGTGCCACTGGAACTGTCATAAGGGTCCGGGCCGTGATGTCCCTGAGCGGTTGGGACTGGAAAGGCAACTTCTTAGATGCAAGGTCGCTACCTGGGCGATACTAAGGATTAGGAGAGACCCTGAATTACAATGCAAAGACGTTTTAGCCGCAGGTTATTGTACCATTTACCCGAATGACCCGGACACCCTAATATTAAGCAGCCTGATGTTTCGCAAATGGGACGAAACTAACACAGGGACGTGTGGTTAAGGTTCTTAAATATCTCAAAGTAGAAAAATATAAGAGATAATGCTCAACTTCAGCTCTGTGTGCCGCTGGAGGGGACTAGAGGAACGAAATAGTCGGGCCGAAGCTGATAAGGGAGATGAAGAATGAATGCAGCTTTTTGGTTATTGAAAAACTCGATTAGACTAAACGTCTGTAAATTACAAGGATCAGTGGGACCAATGGCACTTAGCAACAGGGGTGATGGACAACTTATAATAAAAAAACTCCTTGTCAGCGAGCGCTCGAAGCGTTAAACATGATGTCAGGAGGATAGGCGAGATGCTCGGCAGGGCGCACCATATCCGCCTCACGTCAGCTGGTTGTAGCGCCGGAAGAAAAACCATGTCCGATCCTCGTGGTGGTGTCATGTCCTTATTGCCACATCAGCTCTCCTGCTGAGTAGTCAAGTTACCTGTGTGTCTTGCCAGCTAGCCTGTGCCAGTCCGACACTGGTGCATAGTTCTGAAAGAAGCTCGGGGTGCGAGACATCACTGGATGAAATTTTCGCTGCAAGCCGGCCAGGTTGAACGAACAGTTGGGCACATTGCCATGAAATGTAGAATGGGGGCAACAAATAACGAAATGAACATAATCAGCAGCCTTGTAAGACTAACGAGCCCTCAGCAAACCTTCAAAACTATTGCAAAAGCTGCAAAACATAATAATTGCGAATGCAGGTCAAAAGAGATCCACAACAACCAAGCGACTGCCATCAGCCGCTTTAGGAAGCTTAAAGCTCTCCAGTGATCAAATAAAACATTGTTGAAAAAGTGCAGGATGAATACTGGATGCTGCCGCACCGTTCAGCGGCCAAAGAAACGTTGTAGAGCTCTTCCATCACCGCCGTTGTACCAGCAACGCACAAGAGCTCTCAAAGAAGGTTTCGAAGAACGCCGACATCTTGCACACACTGCGTTGTACGCGCCGCGTTGCAACGCTGCACTTTTTGTACCTAACAGAGTTATGAGATGGGCAAAACTTGACTGGATAATTTTTGACTTCTGTCCCTGTTTTTGGATAAGGCTGGTATTGGGAATTCGCAGCGGTTGACTTGGACAGATCTGATTTAATGGCGGCGCGGGGCGGCATCTCTGTGTAGACTGCCAGCCGTCGCATGGAATCAAGTGTGTGTGTGGGGGGGGGGGGGGGGGAATACGCTGCTCAACGGTCCACATTTGCGATGGTTTGGGGGTCGACGCAGCGCCGCGGACGTCCGTCTGAACACCCCCCACATGTGATGCCGTGATTTATTTTCAAATAAATCTTCTTGGAAATCCCGGTCAATGGTTAAGCTATAAACATTCTTGAGAGGCAGCTTGCCAGTAGCTTCCACCCACCGTCCGACTCCGTCCACGCCAGTGCCCCGGACGAATCCCACGAGAGACGGTTGGCAAATCGAGCTTCCGAGCACTGACAAACATTCGCAATCTACTGGACCGCCTGCGGCCTGTTGCCACCTACTCTACGTGCCGTCGTGGCTGGCTTGCAGTGCCAGTTTATGTGACCTGTAGCCACATGGCCAGCACATCTCGCTGCATAAACTACATGTGTCGAAATTCAGGCACCGGCTTATCTAAATGTTTGGCCGCTGGTCGGCGTGACAAGTACCGAGTTTTGGCCCTTGTAATTCCACTTCAGCCATCCAGGGTCATTCGCACAGTCACTCACCAGTGCTCGGGTCCTGTCATGATGAATTAAACCGAACCGGCTGGCCTTGGTCTCGTGCTTGGTTCCCGAGAAATGAAATGCTTGTTAAACTGCTTTGTCGTATATATACGAATATACCCGAGATTGGATTGTGTAATACACCTGACCGGGTCAATTTATAACAGTTGGGATATTCTCAGACCATCGTTATCTTAAGTGGTTGCAGTTCAGGTCGTGCGTTACTGAAAAAAACTATGCCACCCTCCCACTCATCCCACTCACACAGTACACACAGCGCACGTCTTCTGAGAAGAAAGTCAAGTTTGTCGAAGTAAGTTCCGAACCCGAGTGTTAACTGACGCTTTGGGGCGTCGGGCAGACCTTGGGTGGCGATTTGGTTCGTTGTACTGCTGCCTCGCGCGTTACATGTATTTTCTCCTCATGGCCGCTCTTCACACGAGACAGGTTCGGACGGTGCGACTGCCGCGTGTCTCGGACCACGCGCTCACGGTCGCAAGGTAGTGCAGAGCGGGGCGCGACAGGTTTTCGGCGATCAGAACGCTGTGCAGCAGGCGGAGATCAAAGTAAGAAGTAAACTTATGTGTGGATAGCTGGCCTAATTGATTGAGCACATCCGATATGTGATCAGACATCCGTCCACCTAAGCTGACACTGGCAGCAAAGTTGAAGACTGCGTTTTTGAGACGTTTGAACGGCTTGCACTACCACACACCTGGGCACAATAGCGTACAAAGCACAGAACAAGGGCATCAATAATCCTAGGCAGCACGGTAGGAGGAAGTGCGTGCTTAGCGTTTAGATATCAACCAAGATGTCAGTGCTCCTGATTACCACCTGATCTATGTGACAGCCGTATGACAGAGATGGGTCCATAACGACTCCAACGATTTCAACCAACCAACCAACCAACGATTTCACACAGTTTCTGAATGCCGCAACACCTGATCCATGGACATTGTTGATTGATGTTTTCAGATTTGGTTAACCTGTCGACGGCCGCTACACAATAACATTTCCGTTTTGGCGGCATTTACCATCATCCCATGCTGACAACATCACTACACGCTACGTCCAGCACTGACTCCAGTGAATGCTGCATCTCCACTAACTCGGCCCGGGGTCTGCGATGGCCAGCAGCGCGTCATCAGCATTCCAGACTTGTGTGACACGGAAGCCGTTTCTGTGATGGGATGAAGCACGCGGCGCCGTTGCTGCAGATGATGTACAACAATGGCCCGAGACAAGAACCTTGCACTGTACCAGTGGGATGTTTTGCGGTTCGGACAGCGTCTTTTGCGTCTGCTCCAGCCTCACACGCTGCGTGTGTCCCCCCAGGCAACTTTGGACCCAGCCTGTAGATATATTGAGCTGCTGCTATCAACATCGAGTGGTCCACTGGGTCAAAACGGCGGGTCAGGTCGGTCGGTCAGAAGTGTTGCGTCTCATCGGTACATGTATTACTAAATAACTGTAACCTATACATCAATGTACACACACACACACACACACATATATATATATATATATATATATATATATATATATATATATATATATATATATATATATGTGTGTGTGTGCGTGTGTGTGTGTGTGTGTGTGTGTGTGTGTGTGTGTGTGTGTGTATGTGTGTGTGTATGTGTGTGTGTATGTGTGTGTGTGTGTGTGTGTGTGTGTGTGTGTGTGTGTGTGTGTGTGTTGTGTGTGTGTGTGTGTGTGTGTGTGTGTGTGTGTGTGTGTGTGTGTGTGTGTGTGTGTGTGTGTGTGTGTGTGTGTGTGTGTGTGTGTGTGTGTGTGTGTGTGTGTGTGTGTGTGTGTGTGTGTGTGTGTGTGTGTGTGTGTGTGTGTGTGTGTGTGTGTGTGTGTGTGTGTGTGTGTGTGTGTGTGTGTGTGTGTGTGTGTGTGTGTGTGTGTGTGTGTGTGTGTGTGAAGGTTGACTTTTACCATCGATCCGTCGGCTAGCCAGGTGTGCGGATGGTGGGAAATATTGTAGTTTCGCTTTGATTACAAATTCCTGGACACGGTGAATTTGTTACCTGGGCTATATTTCACAAGTTACACGTAAGTCATTGCCTAGGAAAATATATGGAAGAGCAGTCCACACATTTTAACCTCATGTTTATGTGTGTGCCCACAACGTCTTTTGAACGCAGAGCGACCACACTATTTAGAGCTTTGCTGCTATACTGCCAGTCAGATTATGCGCCAGGACGGCATGAAAGGACAAGTCACTGGAGCAATGATTACGCCGAGATCAATTCCCTAATTCATAATCAGCAAGAACTCTGATGAAGCATACATAGCTAGTTATGACGTTTTATTTAAGAACACTACAGGCCGGACGGGTGTCGAAACTCGGAAATTCCCCCCCCCCCCCCCTTCCTCCAGGAGAACACCCCGGCAGCACAATTAGCTAATGCACTCGTCCACGAAGGTAGGAGGCACAGTTTCAAGCCCGACTTTGACAGACCTTTCCTCGTTCGACTCTTGCCCAGGAGCTGGCAGCAGCCGGATCTGATCGCCCTGGACTTGATCGGATGTACGCCGCGGCAGCCAGCGTCCCCGGCGGCGGCTTCTTCGGCTTGCCTTTGAATGGCCCCTTCGGTCCGGTGAGCCACACTGAGAGCACAGCCTCTGCCAAAGCCGCTGTAGCAGTCCTCTGGCCACCGTGTGCCCCCAAAAAACCGGACGGGCGTGCGTGCTATGGCGAGCATCCGACAGCAAGTGCGTGATCAAGACCGTCCCGCGATTGCGCAAAAACGGTTCCTTGCCTTTAACAGTGTATTGGCTGTAAGCGCATGTCCTTGCCGCTGCCAAAAAAGGGCTCGCGGTGAAGCAACAAAAGCATTCAAAAAGGAAACTGATTTGAAGCACATTCCTATCCTACGCCTGCCTCTGAGCCACGTTAAATGCAAGAGCGCTGCCACTGACGTCATCTGTTTAGGTTTGTCCGCTGCTGGCGGGCAGCCGTTGCAGGCCGCGCTCCCGATAAAACGCGGTCGCCGGCGCCGGGGTCGCGCCAGACCTGCCCCCTGCCGCGGAGGAGACACCATGAGACTGCTGACGCTGCTCCTGGGCCTGGTGGTGGCCGCTAACGGCCAGCTCAACTTCGGCGATGACGCCTCGGCCGCCAGCCCCATCTCCATCTTCTTCGAGAAGGACCACTACACCAACAAGGCGAGCGAGGACGGCTTCTGCGAGGAGCACTGCGGCAGCGTCAAGAAGCCCGTGGTGACCAAGCCGGGCCGCTGCCCGCCGGTCGTGCCCGGCCAGCGGCCGCCCGGCGACTGCCGCGATGAATGCTTGTACGACTCCGAGTGCCCGGGCAGCCGCCGCTGCTGCTCTAACGGCTGCGCGCGCGTCTGCGTCGACCCCGACCTGCGCAAACGCTGCGAGGACATCAGGTGCCCACCGGGCACCGAGTGCGTGGAGCACGCGTTCCGCGACGCTGAGTGCGTCGACCCGACGCCGAAGGGGGGCCGCTGCCCGGAGCCGGCGGACGGCAGCAGCCCTGTGGGCGGCTGCGATGACAAGTGTCGCTTCGATGCCGAGTGCGATGGCGACGCCAAGTGCTGCAACAACGGCTGCGCGTTCAAGTGTCTGAAGCCGCGCAAGCCCGGCTGTGCCGAAACCAAGTGCAAGGTCGGCTACAAGTGCGCGGAGGACCGCTACGGCAACCCCCAGTGCAAGCCGATCCCGTGCTACCAGGACGGCGAGGTGGTCGACATCGAGTGCAACAGCTGCACGTGCATCCAGGGCTTCCTGCTGTGCTCGCAGGAAGACTGCCCGCCCACCAAGCCCGGCTTCTGCCCGCGTATCGTGCGTGGTTACCAGGGCGTGTGTGTGGAGGGCTGCACCGACGACTACAGCTGCCCGGGCGAGCAGAAGTGCTGCAGCACTGGCTGCGGCCACACCTGTCAGGACCACATCAGGGCCATCGTGCACCCCTGCAAGACGGTGCGGTTCCGGTGCGGCGACGAGACCCGGTGCGCGGCCACGCGCGGCCTCTGTCGGCCCGGCCGGCCGTGCCCGCTTGTGCCGCTTTGCGTCTCCAACCGGGTGCCCTACTGCGAGAGCTGTCCCAAGGGCAAGGTGTGCGTGCTGCAGAAGAGGTCGTGCCGCGGCTCCGGCAAGTGCCACCGGCAGCCCATCTGCATCCAGCTCTACAGCGATGACACGCTCTTTCAGGAGAACGAGGACGTCGAGGTGGCGGTCATCGCCAAACAGCAAGGACAGGTCATCGACAACAGCGTGTTCTACTAATCAGATGTTCGCCCCATGAAACACGGTGCTGAGAGACGGTTTTTTGTGGTTTTTGGCTCGTTTAACGACTCCGATGAAAATACACAGCTGTCGTCTCCTGACATGTTTGGGGTTGTTCCAACTTCCAGATCATACTATGTTAATTTAAAAGATTCACAAAACTACAGGCAGCGTTACGACATCGTGCGAGAAAAAAAAGAATACCTAGAATCTACACCTTTGGGGAAATGCATTTACTCCCAGTTCGTGGTAGCTTTCGTAATGAAGCTGCATTTTAGTAAAGCTGCGTTTTTGTTGTAGCAGTAAAATGTGTTTGTTTTGCTACTACTGAAGTATTGCAGTGTGTCTCGACATCCGCACCGGCAAGTCAATGCGGACTATTGGCTTACCGAGATCACTGACGCTATTGACGCGGCAATAATGTGAGAGATGAATGGCCAGTAATGGGTCTATTTCCAACGGATTGGTGTGCCTGGACCGTTGCGAAATTGACTGAACGCAACCATCTGAAGTATTCACAATTTAGCCATTCCTTGCTATTTTAGATCGTGAGATGCCTAACATTGCAAAGGCACCTTGCGTCGTATCTTGGCTCCAGCATGTAGTCACTCGCTGCCCCAAATCAACTAAGGGGTAGACTACCCCGCATCGGGTACAGTACATTGACAGCTAAAAAATATTTACTTATTTGCATTTTGATGATGCTATATTTTTGTCCACAAAAGAATTTAATTTTGGATATACAAAACACTCAGTAATTTGGTAATCGGATGGGTCTGTGTCGTTGTAGAGCTTTGGCCGCCGCTTGAGCTCATTGCCCAGGGATAACCCTTCGCCTATGTTTCTAGCTACATGATGATGCAGTTAAAGCTGCATCTGACATATAACATAAAAGCAAGGCGCCAAAACCACATACATACATCTATGCGCGTCAAAATTACAGCGAAGCAAAGCATAATGTTATCGGTTACGAGTATTCGGTTACGGTTACGGTATCGCAAAAAAAGAATAACGCATCGTGCAAAATAAATGTCATGTACGAGTTTTCGGCACCCAGGTAGATATATTTTGTTAAGCGGCTGTTTAAGCATCTTATGGAATGAAGAATATGACAGATGGCGCCACTACGCCACGGGCCATGACCATCTGCCACGATGGCCCAGTCTGAGGTGGATGCGCCGCTGTTATGCGGGCCTCGAAATGTGCATGGGCATCATCACAGATGGCAGCACTGCACTGTGAAGAACAGCTGGGAGCATTACGGCGGCCAGTGTCATCTCTAATGCAATACTTGTCCGCCAGGGAGATCGCAGACTAGCGGCAGTCTACACCGACCTGCAAACGCGCGGGCGGCCGGTATGGTAGACCGACACGGGCGGGCGCAAAGCTATCATCTGTTTGCAGGGTGGGTGGACCGCTATCCAGTATTCATGGTGGGCTCTCGTCCTAAAAGTGGTCTGTGTGGCGTAATGACAACTCTCAATTTATTTTCATAACCACCATAAATGACGCCCAAGTACCTGCTTTACAGTGCAATACCCAGCTGGATGCGTGTTCACCTTCCAGGAACGCCGGCGATGGCTGAGTAAGGACGTTTCTCTCATTTAAAGTCATTTGTCACCTATCTTAAACGCAGTTCAGACAATTGGTGTTGAGAACGAATGTAGAACCTCAATCAGGCACGTGTCGATCTTACTTTTTCGGTGTAATTCAGGTTTTAACAGCTCCCTAAGGTCATGCGACGAGTCAACATCTATATGTTTTACTTACCAATACCTTGTCTCGATCTTGACAATATTTTCTCCTCATTCGCGGCGGAGGTCTGCTCTCAGGCATAAAATGAGCCTCCTCGTAGTCCGGGGTGGCCTTCTCCCCCCCCCCCCCGCATGATAACCAAATCCGTCTTGACGGGAGCCTGCTGCCTTGCCACGGGTCCCAGGCATCCAACACACCTACACAGCCGAGTGTGTGTCTTTCACGGTTACGCCAGGGGCTTAATACTCTATTTTCTATTATGTCCATCCAACAAATGTGATCCTCATGCTGCTGCTGCCTCCTCTGATTAATGAGCGTGCGGGCCTACTGTTATGCAACGGCTTCAAGCCATCCAAATAATTTACATGACTAAGCCGTCATCAGTGCTGTGTTGGGCCCCTCGATCCCGGCATGGGCCTCCCACGGATCCTGCCTCTCAACTGGTCAGCTATCTTTGCATTATGGAGTCCCTCCTTACATTCTAGCGGGCTGGTGCGGAACGACTATTCCAGACCACATAGACCATACCTGATCGGTAAATTGCCGGAGCTTCCTCTCGATCATTGGATTACACCGTGCATCAGATATATTCGACCCTGCTGCCAGGTGAGAGGGTGGGCGGCTGCATGCGCTGTCAGCCCAGGATGGCGCCCACAGAAAACGAGTGGCATGACGTCAGTGAACATGCAATGAGGTGTTCATGCATTTGATATCTAACTTCGCTGTATGTGGTCCATACGGAACAGTTAGATGCATGTGATACTTTGCAGTACCCAACACTGCGCTCAGGCTACAGATGATATTTTCACTGAAGACTTGTTCGCACTGTTCCTTACTTTTGTAAACAGCCCAGAAACAACTCCAGGGGCGGCGCCACGAGTTTTGAGCAGGGGGGCCTCCTCGACAAAATGGGACCTCCTCAAAGGGAGGACTCTTGTGCAACATCCCAATCAAGAGGAGGGAAACCGGGGCCACATGCCCCTTTCGAGCTATTGCACGTTCCCTGTATGTCGCCTCACTATACACCTCAATGTCAACGGTTAAACAATCTAGAATCGGTCCTCTTATCATCCAGCAAAGGGTCTCTATAACCAAGAACAAGGTCTTCTGTTCCAGAAAATGCCTCCAGATGCATAAAGGGGACCCTAATGCAGAACAGGGTGCTTGCCATTCACGATGGGCCCTCCAGATCTTGTCAAGGGCCTTTTTCCAAAACGGAACATCCTGGTCCGGAGGCGCAGCCATTCGATTCATTAAAGGGGTCTCGTGTTCTAAAAATGGGGCCTCCTAAATATATCGGGTGCCTCCTGAACCAGCACAGGAGCCTCCTAGCTTATAACGGGGAAAACGGGCTTCTCGTTCCAGCAAAGGTCTTCTGAGCCCGATTTGCTCTCTCTAGCTCAGTTATGGGCGTCTCCTTGATCTGAATTTGGTTATGCTAGGTGTAGCCACAATGCTGTTAGTGACAAGTGTGCCTTTATGGACGTAAAAAAGGGTTCACTATTTTTTTAGTGGGGGAGGGGGGCGGCAAAATGATACTATTGCTCCTCCTGCCTGCAGACAGGGGACAACTGTTCGCCTCTGCACCACCCCTTCCCCGCTGTGTCGCCGCTGGACGATGCTGATTCAAGCAGCAGCCGGTAGTTCTAGCACTTTTATCAGGGAATGATGTGTGCTGTGTGTCATCAGTGACGTCATGGGCTCGGCCAATATTTTACTGGTTCTGTGCAAACACCTGTTTTTATCGTACATCTAGAAATTAGACAAGAATAAAGCGCGAAAGATGAGTGGATGTATGTAATGGACGCTCGAGATAACCATTCTCCCTATTGTTTTTTGGTGAATTGAGCGGAGATTAATGAAATGTTTCAATCTAGTTGTTTTTCTCGTTTGGTGCTGCAGCACTCGTGCAAGGATCTTCTCTTTGTTCCAGTTCAAGATTCTCTTGAACGCGAGAAAACTGGATAATTATGAGTTACTTGGTCCATTTTTGGACGAGGTTATTATGTGTTATAGCTACAAACACATGTGCACAAAATATTCTGGTGTGAATAAACTATTTTCTCTCAAAATAGGAAACTTGGCATAGGAAATATTCTGAAGGAAAATAGTTTATTCACACCAGAGCATTTTGTGCACGTGTTTGTAGCCAAAACACATAATAGCCTCGTCCAAAAATGGACCAAGTAACCCATAATGATCCAGTTTTCTCGCGTTTAGGATAAAACGGAGTTCTGTATCACCGGGTGTGCCTTGCATTTACTGAACTCAGATGCGTTGTGTGACAACAAGAAGGCATGTCAGAGGGTGAAGTAACATCCAACATAAGATTCATGAGATCACTATGGCACGACCTCGGACACTCTGGACCTCCCTTTTTGACAGCAATTTCTTGATCTGTTCATCGGAAAGCAGTGACGTTCCAAGTGACCATTTTCATAGGTCCGGTTGCATTTACAGGAAAAAACAAAATGACGTCAACAGACACACAAGGCGTGGCTCGTTGGCTACCAGATCGATCAAAACACTTCGGACTCACAATCGCGTTGCACAAAGTGAGCTTCAAGCGTTCCTGTTCCCACGTCAGACGGTATTTGTCTGTGATCGTGAGTAGTGATTGTCCGCATTTGGAGCATTAGTGGACACGCATCACGCAAAACCGCAGCTGCAGCGCCTATACATAGTTCATCAAACATCCGTGTGCGCACCTGAGCTATGAGAACATCTGAAATACTTTTACGGCAGTTTCAAGCGGTGCAATTCATACACCTTCTGTCAGGAAGGCAGAGGTCATAGGGCCAGAATTTCGTCGAGGGGGAATGACAATGACATCCAAAATACACGAAACATTTTGGGTCCCCTCGAGTTTGGAGCCCCCTCCGCTCGAAATCCTTGTACTCCGGCTAGTAACATTTAAGATTATACACACACACACACACACACATATATATATATATATATATATATATATATATATATATATATATATATATGTATATATAATATACGAAGAGTGATTCTACCGTGTCCAGCCGCACCAAATGGAGCTTGTCCATTTTCTCCAGGCCATGGTGGCCCTATCATTTTGAGGCCAAGTATTGCGGAGAAAAGATGGCAAAATGCATTGAAGTTAGCCGCTAAATACCATCAAAATCAAGCGCAGACTAACTTCCTATCTTACTTTAGGCTAGGCGGCTAGCTGATGTGATCGGATGATGGCTAATAACTACTGCAGAGTTTTTTCTTTGACTGTTATGAAGGGGTACAAAATATCCTAGCGTGCGAAGTGCATTTAAAACGCGATGCACAAGTATGTTAAGTGTAACAAATTCAATAACCGACAGAAATGAGAGGCACACCGCTGGCAGCGCGTAAAAGTATGCTCGATAATTACAGGAAAAAATCGTCGGCACATATCCGCCTGCTGTTCTAAGGCTCAGGCGCCAGGGCAAGTCACCTTCCCGTGGTCCTCGACCTGTGTGCGTGAGGTAATTTAGTCAGAACCGTGCTCACGAGTAGCCGAAACGCCTTGGCGCCCTCAAGCACACGGAAGGGCGTTCGGCAACAGAATACGATCCTTCTGACTTCATCGGACGAGCCCATGACCAATGTGGGGGGACCCGGAGCGATCAAGAGTGCCCCGGCCGATTAAGATCTAGGTCAGGGACAGTGGTGATACAATGGTTGGGGCGCTCGACTTTGGACCTGTCGATTTGAGGTTTGGGCTCTGGCCACGTCACCACCTCATCCCACATAAACCTAACGAAGGCATCCGTCTCGAAGTGTTCCTGGCAGTCGGTGAGACGTGAAGCCCCAATCATCATCATTAAGATGTAGGTCGCCGTCAACGGCACAGGCCCTCCAATGCTATGAGGAAACCCAGGAACAATAGGGACGGCGCCTGGGCGAAGAGAGTGTCGCGGCAGGCCAGCAAACAGGCTTCTGTCAACAGTGTAGAATCTTAGAGCAAGCGAGAAGAAGCAAGACCGGGCCGCTGAGCGAGCGGGAGTACACCGGCACGCTAACACATAGGGCCCGGCCACAGCAAAGGGAAATAACCCAAGACTAGTGTGCATGACGTAATACCCCTATGCCTTGAATGTCCTGTGTAATGAAGAGTGTCCGGGCAGATTAACAGAAAGGACCGTGACGAGAGTGAAGAGTCCTCCGCAAATGAACTCAAAGGAAGGATCCCCAGATCAATGGAGAGGAGCCTTGAGCATCGAGTACCGCGGTGAAAAGAGCCCGATACCCATATGAAACGCCCCTGGGCCACCCAGTGTACCCCGGCGTATGGTCTCCGGCTATAGTGTTTAGAGTCTTTTGGAGAATGTGAAGTGTCCGTGGAGGGCTCTCAATTGAATAAGAATACCCAGACATTCTAGCAGATAAAAGGACCCTTCTATGGTAGGATCATACATTCAAATGAAAAGTGCCCAAGACCCAATGCACAGGGCCTCCGAAAAATCGAGTGTACCCAAGCATGTTAACAGATGGGGCCCCTGACATGAGCGAAGGGTCCTCCATTCAAAAAGGAAGTACCCAATGCTCAATGTGGAGAGCCCCGAACGACGGAGTGTGTCCGAGCAGGTTGACAGATGTGATCCTGTCAAAAGCACAAGGCCCTCAAAAGTCAAAAGAAGGTACTCAGGACGGAGTGTTATTGCCAGCAACGATCCTCTAACGATCAAGCGTGCCCGAGGTGAGCAGATGGGCCCCTGACAAAAGCGTAGGTCGGTTTTCTTTGAAATAAGAATTTCCCAAGACCCAAAGTGGAGTGCCTCCGAACGACTGGGTGTGGCTGAGCTGGTTAGCGGATCGGAGCCCCCGACAAAAGCGCAGAACTCCGCAATTGACAAGGAATTGGCAGAGCCCACGAACAAAGCCGACGGCACATGACCATATAGCGAGTATGTCGTTAGGTTAACCGAAACTAAATTGAAGAGCCTCTTAGCAACTTAGAATACCCCGGCGGTTCAACATATGAGGTCTCGGCTATGGCGTATAGAGCCTTTCGGGCGAGTGGGAAGCATCCGTGAAAGGCCCTTGATCGACAGGAGTGCCCCGACACGCCAGCAGAAGGGGCCCCGACAAGAGGGCGGGGCCCTCCGAGAAACAAAAATCAAAGGCAACATGGAAGGACGCCTAGTTATCGGATTGCCCCGGCAAGTGGACATATAGGGCCCCCAGAAACATCGTGGAGTATTGGACAGCGTAAGGGGCCTTAGCATATTTTAATCACGATCCTCTCAATCACTGAATAATTATTTTATCTGCTTGCTCGCGGGCCCTGCACTTTCACCTGAGACCGTTCTTGGTTACCTGGAAGCCCAAAGACTCCTTATTTTATTGCGTTTTGTTTAAAAAAACTGCGTCTGTTCGGCCATCTGTGGGTCGCTTCGGAACCTATGGCCCTTCGGCGCCTAAGAGGACGGGGGGGGGGGATGAGGGCCTCGTACCTCCTCCTCTGGATCCGCCCCTGCACAAAGGCGTCGTTACCAAATCGGCCGTGTTGTCTAAAATGTGCACGGTGAATCATAGGCATTTTGTCACATATGAATCCCTCCCAGTCACATTTTAGTAGCATTTTAACATTTAGTATGCTAATGCTACAAGTGTACCAAGGAGACGCCCGTCTAGCCGACTGTTTTATGTGGCATTTTAGTACGCTTATGTGAGCTTCGATGTTTGGGCTATGCCATCTTTTCAATATCGCTGCAGTGTTGAGATGCTGAAGTCGTTTCATAATGCAAGCAAAACACGATTAGACGTTTATATTCACAATCATTGCATGACAGATATCACACCGAGAGCAGCAGCAGCCCGGGAATAGTCGACAATGTGCGGTTTACCGATGCAGCAAGTTAATCTGTGTTCCGACGTGTCCGATACATGGCCTTCGATCCCGACATCCGGAATACTCGAACCACGTCATAAGCGCATGCGGAATGTGGTTATCCCACGGACCAGCGACGTCAAGCGCGATGTCTAGCGCCCCCCCCCCCCCCCGCGCCCCCGCTAGGTCTAGAACATATCCGCGTCGAAGTGCCGGCCGTGCTGCTTGTCGATGATGGCAATCTCGACGTCCTCGTTCTCCTCGAAGAGCGTGTCATCGCTGTAGAGCTGGATGCAGATGGGCTGCCGGTGGCACCTGCCGCCGCCGCGGCACGTCTTCTTCTGCAGCACGCACACCTTGCCGGGTGGGCAGGACTGGCAGTAGGGCACCTCGTCGGAAACGCAGAGCGGCGACAGCGGGCACGGCTCACCCGGTCGACAGAGGCCGCGCGTGGCCGCACATTGGGTCTCGTCGCCGCACCGGAACCGCACCGTCCTGCAGGGGTGCACGATCTCGGGGATCGGCTTCTGGCAGGTGTCACCGCAGCCGGTGCTGCAGCACTTGTAGTCGCCCGGGCAGTTCATGTCGTACGAGCAGTCCTCCACGCAGCTGCCCTTGTAGCCCTTGACGAGGCGCGGGCAGAAGCCGGGCTTGGTGGGCGGGCAGACCTCCTGCGAGCACAGCAGGAAGCCCTGGATGCACGTGCAGCTGTTGCAGTCGATGTCGACCACCTCGCCGTCCTGGGAGCACGGGATACGTTCGCAGGTCGGCTGGCCGGGCGTCTCTTCGGTACACTTGTAGCCCACCTTGCACATGAAGGTGTCGCAGCCCCTCTTGCGCGGCTTCAGGCACCTGTTGGCGCAGCCGTTGTTGCAGCACTTGGCTGCGCCGTCGCACTCGGCATCGTGGAGGCACACGTCTTCGCAGCCGCCGATCGGGGCGGAGTGGTTCATGATTTTCGGGCAGAGGTCGGGCTTGGGCGTCGGATCCACGCACAGGGCGTCCACGAACGCGTACTCGACGCACACCTCTCCTTCCTTGCAGTTCAGGTCGGAGCAGCGCTTGTGAAGGTCGGGCTCCAGGCAGACGCGCGCGCAGCCGTTGTCACAGCAGCGCTGCGACCGTGGGCACTCCGAGTCGTACTTACACTCATCCTTGCAGGCGCCCTTGATGGGCCCGGGCGGTATGGCCGGGCACGTGCCCGGCTTGGTGATCACCTCTCGCCGCTCGCTGCCGCAGATCTCCTCGCAGACGCCCGGCTCGGTGGCCTTGTTGATGAGGTGGTCCTTCTCGAAGTAGATGACCTGCTTGTCTTCGATGGTGGGTGCTGGCGGCCTGTACTCGCTGGTGGGCGGCAGGTAGGTCTTCTTGGGCGGCAGGTACCTCGTGAGGTCATCGCCGTAGTCGAGCTGGCCGCGGGCCAGCGCCACCAGCACGCTCAGCAGCAGGAGCTTCATGGTTCGACTGGGCACGGCAGGCACTGTGCAGCCCCGGACCGCCCGGTCCTTATATATCATCCAACACCCCTCCGCCCGCGCTCAGTTCAGTGGGGGGGGGGGGGATAAGACGTGGTCTCACGCTCCGGCTGGTTAACGACGTAGCCAGTCCGGGCTGGGGTTTTCTCCCAGCCGGGGAACCCTTCGTGTGATCTACCGATGAACTCTCATGCTGCTGAGCGTAGAAGTGGCTTGCTCTGTAGCTACTGAGCCACGGTAGCAAGCTTCTTATTTGCAAGTTGTTCGTGTTTTCGTGGCAAGGAATTCAGGCAAGCGGGGTTAATTGGACGTGCTTTTGGGATCGAATCAAATGATGCAAAAATCGTTCAGGACGCGATAACCGAACATCGCACAGCAGTGCAGTTTGGTTCAGCTCGTTTCGCTATGGCGTCATGTTGTTGTCATTGGAGCTTTAGGACGCTCTCAGCTGCTGAGGCTTCATGGTGCCGCCTGCCGCTTACCCCGAAGGGAAGGGCGAGCACCGCGGGGAATCGAACCACGCACCTCTGGCTTCTTAGACGCACAGTTTAACTACCACTCTATCCGTTTCAATGTTGCTGATCCGGCATGTCGATTGAAGGATTCGCCTGCACATTGGTCATGGGTATCCTGCTCGCTAGACGAACGGAAACTAATGGGCATCTGCCATTGTATGCTCACCCAACAGGGATGCCTTGGACGCCAAGTTTGGAAATATTTCGGCATTGTTTTACATTGTAGCGTTTTTACTTACTTCGAAGAATGCATGCAAGTTGAATATTGACTGTATTTAGCCACGTCTAGGTTTCGTGGTCCATGGGCGTCGGGTCCTTTTCAGCAGTGAGTGGTACACACCGTATCCAGGGCATAGAGCAACACAACGAAATATTACAAAATGTCCATATCTGTGTCATTAGCATTACCACATTAATCAAACAGTCACAACCTCTCCACTGCGCTTCTATTTGGCATTGCTATTTTTTACTTGCATGGAAGAGCACAGCACGATAGGGCCCGATAGGTCATGGATGATCCCAAGGGCTTCCTTATCACTACTGCAAGTATCTGACCGGGTGCATTGCATGGTTAGCGGTATCGTCATATCATCGAAACAGGACGGCACACGGAGCGGGACTGCGTGGCGGCACCAGTTGGGCCGGATCTGAGCGAGGGCAAGCCAATCTCCTGACACACGGAGCGGGACTGCATGGCGGCACCGGTCGGGCCGGACCTGAGCGTGGGCAAGCCAATCTCCTGACACACGGAGCGGGACTACATGGCGGCACCAGTCGGGCCGGACCTGAGCGTGGGCAAGCCAATCTCCTGACACACGGAGCGGGACTGCATGGCGTCACCAGTCGGGCTGGATCTGAGCGAGGGCAAGCCAATCTCCTGACACACGGAGCGGGACTGCATGGCGTCTCCAGTCGGACCGGACCTGAGCGTGGGCAAGCCAATCTCCTGACACACGGAGCGGGACTGCATGGCGGCACCAGTCGGGCCGGACCTGAGCGTGGGCAAGCCAACCTCCAGACAAAGAGAGGTGTTCGTGACGTGCAGCACATCAGATTTTCGCACCTAATTTATTGCCGGGTGCCGAATAATGCTCGATACCAAGGTTTTACCTCAACTATTATTGCTGGTTCTGACAAGCGAGCGTGGAAAGTATTCGTCAAACGTGTGTTCACACGGAAAAGACGCTGCGTGGCGCGAGAAAGATCCATGTGGCCACCTTCACTACAGAGAAATAGGAGACATAAAGTTATGGTCGACAGCAGGGAGAGGACACGTATCTAATGGTGTTTATCTGCTTGTCAGGGGGCTGTGTGAGCCGACCTTTAAAGGCAAGACATGCAGTCTTCAGAAAAGAAAACATTGGAAATACAATTTGTCCGACAGAAAGTCCGACCAAGCCAAAAAAAATGGCAATGTGCCAGCTGATGCGACAGCGATGTACAAGCAATCACGGTCGGTCCAGCTGGGTCGGTGCAGCGCTAAGCGGCTTCCACCATGCCGTACGGTGCAGCCATTACAGGTTAACTGGCTGGTGGCTAACCCTCATGGTTACTACTGCTGAGGCTTCCATGACGAGCTGCTGAGGCTACATGGCTTTGCCTGGCGCCCACCCTGGCGGGAAGCCAGACGCCGCGGGGAATCCAACTACATGCCTATGGTTTTCTAGATGCGCACTAAACATCTGTACCACCGCAGCACTATTGGGGTAAACTTTAAAAGCTTGGGTTAAACTGGATGTGATGGTCATGAAATGGTGACGTCACTGGTCATGAATAACAAACTGGAAAAGCGATGGTGGGAGTCAGGGCTCACACAACAAGCACTGTTAGCGTGAGCTCTGATCCCAGAAAACCATTCATTCAAAATGTGCCGATGAAATTTAAAAAATGAACCATCATTTCGGCTACAAAAACAAGTTTCAGGACATGAGCAGGAGATTCAGATCTTAAAAATGATCTGTCATAAATAGGCGGTTGCAATGATTAGAATTCCGACGTGCTTTTTTCTAAAGCTTGCATGTTTTGCCTCTAAAAGTTGGTTTACACAGCTCTCTAACAATCGGATAAACATCCTTAGATACCTCCTCATTTCTTACTTATCCGTGGCGGAGTCCTTTCATGCATTGCTGAAAACATGTTTTGTTGGCCAGAAAACATGTCTTGTTGGTCTTCTGCGGTATGTAGAAGCACTTTTCAACACGGTGACACTTAGGCCATTGCGACACTCTCTTGATCTGTTTGGTATCTTTCTCTTTGCTTGAAGCTCTACTATTTGAGGCGAGTGCGCAGTGATATCTTCATTATGACAGTGTTTTAGCTCATAGCGTCTCCACCAAGGACACAGAATACGGGAACGATATTTCAGTTACAGGGGATTCGCACGGGTCACTGCTGTTTAGAATCATTTTCTACCTGCTGCAGGAAAAGTAAACTAGATCTTTTGGTATGCCTTGTCTACTCTGAGTTGTTCTGCATCATGGGCAGGGATGAAACGCTTCAAGTCTATAGACGGGGGTGCGTTGTGATTTGAGTTATTTGCACCAAAACCCATTATCCTGATTCCAAGCTCAAAATATTGATGATTTAACACCTCGGGTGTCATCATCGGGTGAGTGCATCTCTCTTGGTCTATGGAAGGTTTCACCCATGCCCAGGCCAGGAGCCCACAGCGGACACCACAGTATAACAGCAGGGATATTTGAGCCCTTGAAAACGAGCAGTATTCGCTGTGTCTATCGGCGAACGGTTGCAGTACAATTCGTGTGCGGCGGAGCGTGTACGAATGTAGGATCGACCAGAACAATGGATAGCTGGTGGACGGCCAAAACAGACAGAGGCTTTGGCACACCGGGGTTTAGATGTAAAGCACCCGTGGCGAAAAATCCGTGCTGTCACACTTTGTAACAGTCAGACGCCTTTTGTGAGACCCCTTCTGCGGCGTGGGGCGACCGAGGTGACGCCGGAGAGGCGCGTTATCGTGGAGATGATTGTTTTACCTGTGGGAATCTGGCTGGTCACTCCTGGAATCACGTACAAACACGTCTGGGTAATGATTTGAGACCTGGGTGTCTGCTTTTTCACGACTGAAGTAGGGACAACGGCAAACCATCGTATTAATCATGGGGATGGAAGGGCAATTATCTGCCCATTATGACAGTTTTTCGGATGCTGTAGCAAAACAATTTTTACTATTTACCTGATATTTTCAGCTTACGTCACATCAATTGCAAAGACACCTTCCCTGCATCTTTGGGGTCCAGGTCACGTCAGGTGAATGGCCTAGATAGGTTTAATTCTTGAACTCTTGTCTTGATTAGTCTCTAGACATGCCAGCAACATTATTCATGTTCCTTGCATGCGATATTTCGTCATGTAAGGCAATCATGGGTCATTTAGGTTGACCTCGAAAAGTAGCCGGCTCGACAGCTGGGTGACCTGGGTCAAACGTCAGCAGTATGTCATTATGAGGTGAGCGGGTCATTGTGATTGCCAAATCGTTCAGAGGCTGATAGACTGAAATAGCAACGCGGGGAATCAAACCCAGTACCTCTGGAAAACCAGAGGTACGGGGTTCGATCCCTCGTGGTGCCCGCCCTTCTTGCCAGGGTGAGAGACAGGCGACGCCGTATAGCCTCAGCAGCTGAGTGCATCGTAAAGCCCCAATGACAACGACAGCCTGAAATCACAAAAGCTTCTTAAGAGCCGCCTCCACGGGCACCAATTAAAAACGATAATATACGACCTATACTAAATTTCATTGTGAGCTCTGTTAAAAATATCCTTAATAACACCGTTCAGGGCTGTATCAACTATCCAGTGACGTTCCAGTTGTCATGTTATCTCTATTCTGTTCCCAGTAGTGGGGAGGGGGGACGAGGGCTATCGCCTTCTACCCCATCAGTTCCAAGCTGGTGCCGAGCCCCATTGTCCCAGGGTTATCCCATGCGTAGGGTCCGCAGTAGGTTTGCTAACGCATTGCCCGGTTTTTATTCTCATCAAGTCTTGCAGTTTCAGCTCGCGAACATAATTCGTTCGGAATGATATACCTTTTGAGTGCTAAAGTATGACTAAGACCAAGTTGCTGCGAAACACGTAATGCTGGGTGGACACTGGGCTCATTCAAATGAGTTGGATATAATTATACTTTTCCCGTCCCATCCCGTCCCGTCGCGTTCCGCTCAGTTCAATTTCGTACCGCCTCGTTCCGTTCCGTTCTGTCACGTTACGTTTTGTTTCATTTTGTTTGGCCTCGTTTGATTTGGTTTGGTTTAGTTTCGTTTCGTTTCGTTCTGTTTTGCCCACTCCCGTGCTGCCCCTTGCTCCTGCTCTGTTCTATCCCGTCACTTCGGTCCGGTCCATTCTGGTTCGCTTCAGCCCGGTCCGGTTCGTTCCAGCTGGTTCTGGTCCGTTCTGGTTGTTATGGCCCGTTCCAACTCGTCTGTTACGTCCGTTCCGATCCGTTCTAATTGGTTCCGTTCCA